GCTGAGGTGTTCCAAAGGTGCCCACTGCAGGAGGAAGAACTTGGCACCATTCTTCGGCAGACTTGGGGCTGTGTAAGCTCCTCTTTCTAACTGATCCTTGCATCATATTACAATATAATTAATATATAAAACTATCTTTGTTACTCTCTAAGACATTCTATTGTGTTTAAATATTTGCATAGTAATACTGTCATATTTCCCATGTGTACAGTGAACAGTATACAAATTTTAAGCTTTGATTTGACCTAATTTAATTTCGGTGATGTTAATATAGATACATTTAACTATGTATGTTCTTAACTATGTATTCAAAACATGTAAGTCAATCATCGGTTAATCTAGAAGGTTCTAGCATTGGCAGTTTATACAGCTATACAACACCAGACTGTATAATTTATACAACTGTGTAAATGCTTCCACGTAATTCAAACACAAATTATCGACAAAAGAGCCTAAACAACCAATCCAAGATCAGTTTTAAAGTATACCTGCTAATTGGCCAGTCAGCCATCTTGTGCAGTGGTTATTAGACTTTGGCGTTTAGAAAGGTTACCCAAATAACTTTTAATTAAGAAAGAAAACTTAGACACGAGTTCGATCATAGAAAACGTTTCATGCACTGAGAAAACTCTTGACATTGAAGGGAGACTCCTCAATACCAGAAGGGTGGGACAGATATGCCTGACGTCTTTGGCTGCTTTCTCAAACACAAGTGACGAATGTCATATGTGACTGCTCTTTGTATGAACACATGTGACAGCTCTAAGTGCATATGTGATGATCCTAGTCAGTTCATATGTGACTTCTGCAGGGAAGTACATATGCGGTGATACTAGTAAGTCTATCCAACTGCTATAGACACATATGTGACTGCTCCAAATGAGTACATATATACCTTCTCGTAAGTAAGTACATACATAACTGCCCCAAATACACATAAGACTTACATTTAAAAACTTCAAAATGCCTGATTTACCTGATGGCCACTAATTTTAGTGGCCTCGACGAGGACAGGAAGCCGGTGGCTTGTCGAAGGTCCCCCCTATTTGCCTTGATTTTATCCGACTCTACCTTAAAATGGAGACGTTTTTGGCATTTACGGCTTCGGCGGGTAGGCGGTTCTATAGGTTAATAACACTGTGGGTTAAAAAGCATCTCTGTCATACATTGTGGCTTGTTGAGCTTGACACTGTTGCTCCTTATTTGTGTTACATCTGACCTTTTGGAGAGTCTGTCCGGGTCAGTATTCTCCATATCGTTCGATATTTTAGAGGTTTTTCGATGAGATCAGCCTTATCATGTCTGGTTTGTTATTGTTAGCCCTGTGGCTCTCAACCGTTCCTGATGCGAGAGTTGACTTAGCTCTGGAATGATTTTTGTTGCCCGATGTTGCACTTTCACCAGAACAGCTATGTTCTCCTGAAGATGAAGTCTCCATGCTGGGATACAGTAACCCAAATGGGCCGCACCAGAGAATTATACAATTGAATCCCTATCTTCCTTTCCTTAACATATCATGTGTTGTGATGCGCAATTTATAGCAAGTTACTCAAGACTTCATATGACGTGATGCGCAGTTTAAGGGTTAAAGTCAAAGATAAGCTTGATTATTCCAAGAGTTTGTTTATCTTTTCTAACAGCTGCCCCAACCTTTATCTTTGAGTAGTGGAGTTTGACTCTAGTGTAATGTTATTAATTTATGGTACAATTGTAACGTCAATTAACGTTACAATACATATAATGCTACAATTAATTCAACTCTATTAATGAAATATTATTAAAATTCTCTCATATTTTCTTATAGACTCTTGTTCTGATATAAATATATGATTTATTTTCCAAAATAAATCTGGATTTATTGGATAAATAAATAAAATGTTCTAAAGTGTTTTGCGTTATACATACCTCGTGTGTATGACAGCAGTATACATAGCTTATGTGTGTGTGACAGTATACATACCTCGTGTGTATGACAGCAGTATACATAGCTTATGTGTGTGTGACAGTATACATACCTCGTGTGTATGACAGCAGTATACATAGCTTATGTGTGTGACAGTATACATACCTCGTGTGTATGACAGCAGTATACATAGCTTATGTGTGTGTGACAGAATACATCTCGTGTGTATGACAGCAGTATACATAGCTTATGTGTGTGTGACAGAATACATCTCGTGTGTATGACAGCAGTATACATAGCTTATGTGTGTGTGACAGAATACATACCTCGTGTGTATGACAGCAGTATACATAGCTTATGTGTGTGACAGTATACATACCTCGTGTGTATGACAGCAGTATACATAGCTTATGTGTGTGTGACAGTATGCATACCTCGTGTATATGTTATATTATGTATATTTATCGTCCTGAACATAATACACGTCTTTCCTGTCTAGCAATATACATACTTTATGTATCATTGGCATAATAAATGCTTTATGTATGTTTAACGTCATACATAATGTGTATGTGTCAGTATATTCATCATAAGTCATCATAAAACAATGTTAAAATGATGAAGTTAAAAGTTCATATCATCATTAAAAGAAACATTACATATATCTGAATAATGAAGTTTATAAATCAATTAAAAAATCTTGATACAGTTAAGTTTGATCATTATTGAAGAACACAATAACAAGCACACAATTAGGGGCCTGATGGCTGAGTGGACAGCGCTCGGTATTCGTAATCCTGAGGGTCTGGGTTCGATCCCCGGCGGAAACAAATGGGCAGAGTACCTTTCACCCCTGATACCCTTGTTCACCTAGCAGTAAATAGGTACCTGGGAGTTAGACAGCTGCTACGGGCTGCTTCCTGGGGGTGTATGTATGTGTGTGGGGGGAGAGAAATCACTTGATTGACAGTTGAGAGGCGGGACCAAAGAGCCAGAGCTCAACCCCTGCTAGCACAACTAGGTGATTATACTTTGGTAATCACTAATCAATTAGGATTCATTGATTGTTTACTTACAAACTACGCCATTTTGGTCTTAAAACGACCTTACATGCAAGATTCATGTATGGGATCCACACCTGAAAGGTTACAACATGAGGAATACATTAAACATGGATATGTATACGTCCATTGAGCAAGCTAAACTCTCCTCAGGGTCTATCCTCTAACTGGTTAGAGAATCACCTGCACTTAGCTTCGACCTTGGATAAATGTCCTCAGGACCTGGATAGGTGATTTCGGGCCTTGGATAGGTGATTTCGGGTCTTGGATAAGTGATTTCGAGTCTTGAATAGGTGATTTCGGGTCTTGGATAGGTGATCTCGGGTCTTGGATAGGTGATTTCGGGTCTTGCATAGGTGATTTCGGGTCTTGGATAAGTGATCTCGGGTCTTGGATAGGCGATTTCGAGTCTTGGATAGGTGATTTCGGGTCTTGCATAGGTGATTTCGGGTCTTGGATAAGTGATCTCGGGTCTTGGATAGGTGATTTCGGGTCTTGGATAGGTGATCTCGGGTCTTGGATAGGTGATTTCGGGTCTTGGATAGGTGATCTCGAGCCTTGGATAGGTGATTTCGAGTCTTGGATAGGTGATTTCCGGTCTTGGATAGGCGATTTCGGGTCTTGGATAGGTAATCTCGGGTCTTGGATAGGTAACCTCATATCTTGGATTAGCACCCATGACGTCTCATGAATGTCTTCAGCGGTGGAAAAAAGGAACAAGCATCGACATAGCAGATTCAAACACACACACTCGACTCCCGTTTGTACCCTACGTCTTACAGACTGTGTAATGTTACAGAGAGCCACCTCCACTGTGCTACAGTCATCCACTGTACCTCCTATCCACCTCGTGCAGGCGAGGAGTCACAATAACGTGCCTAAAGTATGTTGACCAGACCACACACTAGAAGGTGAAGGGACGACGACGATTCGATCCGTCCTGGACCATTCTCAAGTCGATTGAGAATGATCCAGGAAGGACCGAAACGTCGTCGTCCCTTCACTTTCTAGTCTGTGGTTTTCTGGAATATTTCTAGCAGTTCACAACGGCTTGAAATGCGACATTTTACATCATCAGTTTAGCAAATCTTTGAGAAACTCATTGCTACGTTAGAGGCACGGGGGATTGGATGGATTATCCTGGATTAGGGCTTAATTGTTTCCAAGACATTAGATAGTTAGCATAGACAGAGTTAATCCTGAGTAGGAAACCTTTGTGGAGTGCTCCAAGGCTCTCTCCTGACTCCTCTCTTGTTTAATATATATATATATTTATAAACGATTCATATTCAGGATTGAACAGCGATGTTTACAAATTTGCTAACGATACGAAAATTGAGAGGTAAATATATTTAGAGGAAGACACTAGATACCAAGAATATGATTTAGATAGGCTTCTAAGAAGTAGAAACATTGATAAATTGGAGTTTTAGACAAAAGAATATAGGGATTTGAGCCATGGCAATAATTATAGAGGTCCTAGATATCAGCAGGATAATGCTATAGAATTTATGTGTATGTCTCATACCATGTATACTGATGTCATGATGTTCTTGTCGAAATATGTATACTGATGTAATGTTTCTGTTCAAATATGTATACTGATGTAATGTTTCTGTTCAAATATGTATACTGGTGTAATGTTTCTGTTCAAATATGTATACTGGTGTAATGTTTCTGTTCAAATATGTATACTGGTGTAATGTTTCTGTCCAAGTATGTATACTGATGTAATTTTCCGGCCCCATACCATGTATACTGATGCCTTATTATAACTACCTACACCATGTATACAACAGTCTTAATATGGCTGTCCATACCATGTATAAAGAGCTGTAACTCAATCAACTTATCAGAAAACGTTTCAAAGTTGCACCTTCTGCCAAGAACACATCGACAGAACACATAACATGAAGAGAACACCGCGACCTCTCGAGTCCAGGAAAGATATGTAGCAATAACACGGTGTTGGAGTTCCGCTATATTTAGCGGGCCGTCCACACTGTCTGAATACTTGTGCGCTCCGGAGGACCCGGATGGTCGTCTCAGTGTTTGGTTCAATTGAGTTTTCCTTTCACGTAGTCAACAGCGTCACAGGACTGCCGGCAACAGCGGCCCAAGACTTCCGCCAACAGCGGCCCAAGACTGCCGTCAACAGCGGCCCAAGACTGCCGGCAACAGCGGCCCAAGACTTCCGCCAACAGCGGCCCAAGACTTCCGTCAACAGCGGCCCAAGACTTCCGCCAACAGCGGCCCAAGACTTCCGTCAACAGCGGCCCAAGACTTCCGTCAACAGCGGCCCAAGACTGCCGTCAACAGCGGCCCAAGACTGCCGTCAACAGCGGCCCAAGACTTCCGCCAACAGCGGCCCAAGACTTCCGTCAACAGCGGCCCAAGACTTCCGCCAACAGCGCCTGAAGACTCCCACCAACAGCTCCCGAAGACTCCCACCAACAGCTCCCAAAGACTCCCACCAACAGCTCCCGAAGACTCCCACCAACAGCTCCCAAAGACACCCACCAACAGCTCCCAAAGACTCCCGCCAACAGCTCCCAAAGACTCCCACCAACAGCTCCCAAAGACTCCCACCAACAGCTCCCAAAGACACCCACCAACAGCTCCCGAAGACTCCCACCAACAGCTCCCAAAGACACCCACCAACAGCTCCCGAAGACTCCCACCAACAGCTCCCAAAGACACCCACCAACAGCTCCCAAAGACTCCCACCAACAGCTCCCAAAGACTCCCACCAACAGCTCCCAAAGACTCCCACCAACAGCTCCCAAATACTCCCACCAACAGCTCCCAAAGACTCCCACCAACAGCTCCCAAATACTCCCACCAACAGCTCCCAAATACTCCCACCAACAGCTCCCAAATACTCCCACCAACAGCTCCCAAAGACTCCCACCAACAGCTCCCAAAGACTCCCACCAACAGCTCCCAAAGACACCCACCAACAGCTCCCGAAGACTCCCACCAACAGCTCCCGAAGACTCCCACCAACAGCTCCCAAATACTCCCACCAACAGCTCCCAAAGACACCCACCAACAGCTCCCAAAGACTCCCACCAACAGCTCCCAAAGACTCCCACCAACAGCTCCCAAAGACTCCCACCAACAGCTCCCAAAGACTCCCACCAACAGCTCCCAAAGACACCAGCCAACAGCTCCCAAATACTCACTCCAACAGCTCCCAAAGACTCCCACCAACAGCTCCCAAAGACTCCCACCAACAGCTCCCAAAGACTCCCACCAACAGCTCCCAAAGACTCCCACCAACAGCTCCCAAAGACACCCACCAACAGCTCCCGAAGACTCCCACCAACAGCTCCCAAATACTCCCACCAACAGCTCCCGAAGACTCCCACCAACAGCTCCCAAATACTCCCTCCAACAGCTCCCAAAGACTCCCACCAACAGCTCCCAAAGACTCCCACCAACAGCTCCCAAAGACTCCCACCAACAGCTCCCAAAGACACCAGCCAACAGCTCCCAAATACTCACTCCAACAGCTCCCAAAGACTCCCACCAACAGCTCCCAAAGACTCCCACCAACAGCTCCCAAAGACTCCCACCAACAGCTCCCAAAGACTCCCACCAACAGCTCCCAAAGACACCCACCAACAGCTCCCGAAGACTCCCACCAACAGCTCCCAAATACTCCCACCAACAGCTCCCGAAGACTCCCACCAACAGCTCCCAAAGACACCCACCAACAGCTCCCGAAGACACCCACCAACAGCTCCCGAAGACTCCCACCAACAGCTCCCGAAGACTCCCACCAACAGCTCCCAAAGACACCCACCAACAGCTCCCGAAGACTCCCACCAACAGCTCCCAAAGACTACCACCAACAGCTCCCAAAGACTCCCACCAACAGCTCCCGAAGACTCCCACCAACAGCTCCCGAAGACTCCCACCAACAGCTCCCGAAGACACCCACCAACAGCTCCCGAAGACTCCCACCAACAGCTCCCGAAGACTCCCACCAACAGCTCCCAAAGACACCCACCAACAGCTCCCGAAGACTCCCACCAACAGCTCCCAAAGACTCCCACCAACAGCTCCCAAAGACTCACTCCAACAGCTCCCAAAGACACCCACCAACAGCTCCCAAAGACACCCTCCAACAGCTCCCAAAGACTCACTCCAACAGCTCCCAAAGACACCAGCCAACAGCTCCCAAAGACACCAGCCAACAGCTCCCAAAGACTCCCTCCAACAGCTCCCAAAGACTCCCACCAACAGCTCCCAAAGACTCCCACCAACAGCTCCCAAAGACTCCCACCAACAGCTCCCAAAGACTCCCACCAACAGCTCCCAAAGACTCCCGCCAACAGCTCCCAAAGACTCCCTCCAACAGCTCCCAAAGACTCCCTCCAACAGCTCCCAAAGACACCAGCCAACAGCTCCCAAAGACTCCCTCCAACAGCTCCCAAAGACTCCCACCAACAGCTCCCAAAGACTCCCACCAACAGCTCCCAAAGACTCCCACCAACAGCTCCCAAAGACTCCCACCAACAGCTCCCAAAGACTCCCTCCAACAGCTCCCAAAGACTCCCTCCAACAGCTCCCAAAGACTCCCTCCAACAGCTCCCAAAGACACCAGCCAACAGCTCCCAAAGACTCCCTCCAACAGCTCCCAAAGACTCCCACCAACAGCTCCCAAAGACTCCCACCAACAGCTCCCAAAGACTCCCACCAACAGCTCCCAAAGACTCCCACCAACAGCTCCCAAAGACTCCCTCCAACAGCTCCCAAAGACTCCCTCCAACAGCTCCCAAAGACTCCCTCCAACAGCTCCCAAAGACACCAGCCAACAGCTCCCAAAGACTCCCTCCAACAGCTCCCAAAGACTCCCACCAACAGCTCCCAAAGACTCCCACCAACAGCTCCCAAAGACTCCCACCAACAGCTCCCAAAGACTCCCACCAACAGCTCCCAAAGACTCCCGCCAACAGCTCCCAAAGACTCCCGCCAACAGCTCCCGAAGACTCCCTCCAACAGCTCCCAAAGACTCCCGCCAACAGCTCCCGAAGACTCCCACCAACAGCTCCCGAAGACTCCCACCAACAGCTCCCAAAGACTCCCGCCAACAGCTCCCGAAGACTCCCTCCAACAGCTCCCAAAGACTCCCGCCAACAGCTCCCGAAGACTCCCTCCAACAGCTCCCAAAGACTCCCACCAACAGCTCCCGAAGACTCCCTCCAACAGCTCCCAAAGACTCCCACCAACAGCTCCCAAAGACTCCCGCCAACAGCTCCCGAAGACTCCCTCCAACAGCTCCCAAAGACTCCCACCAACAGCTCCCAAAGACTCCCACCAACAGCTCCCAAAGACTCTGCCAACAGCTCCCGAAGACTCCCTCCAACAGCTCCCAAAGACTCCCACCAACAGCTCCCGAAGACTCCCGCCAACAGCTCCCAAAGACTCCCACCAACAGCTCCCGAAGACTCCCTCCAACAGCTCCCAAAGACTCCCACCAACAGCTCCCAAAGACTCCCACCAACAGCTCCCGAAGACTCCCTCCAACAGCTCCCAAAGACTCCCACCAACAGCTCCCAAAGACTCCCGCCAACAGCTCCCGAAGACTTTCTCCAACAGCTCCCAAAGACTCCCACCAACAGCTCCCAAAGACTCCCACCAACAGCTCCCAAAGACTCCCGCCAACAGCTCCCGAAGACTCCCTCCAACAGCTCCCAAAGACTCCCACCAACAGCTCCCGAAGACTCCCGCCAACAGCTCCCAAAGACTCCCACCAACAGCTCCCGAAGACTCCCGCCAACAGCTCCCAAAGACACCAGCCAACATTGCTAACTAAGATACCTTACATAGCTGTCCTCAGGTCTGTAAATACGAGACCTGGGGACACTGCCAAGGGTCCGGACGTATTTACAGACCTGAGGCGTCCTCAGGTCTGTAAATACGAGACCTGGGGACACTGCCAAGGGTCCGGACGTATTTACAGACCTGAGGGCCCTCAGGTCTGTAAATACGAGACCTGGGGACACTGCCAAGGGTCCGGACGTATTTGCAGACCTGAGGCGTCCTCAGGTCTGTAAATACGAGACCAGAGGACCCTGCCAAAGGTCCGGACGTATTTACAGACCTGAGGCGTCCTCAGGTCTGTAAATACGAGACCAGAGGACACTGCCAAGGGTCCTGACGTATTTACATATACCTATTATAGGTGTAGGTTAAGTAATAATTGTAATTACGAAGCAATAAGATGCTTATCTTAACATACTAAGAAGGTTAGGTAATGTCGGTGTTTTCTATGAAGCTTTTCAAGGTAAACTAAAATATTCACAATAAATTAGTATGTCACATATGCACGTATTTAATAAGTCAATATTGACTGTAAGAAAGTGCGAGAACGGGTTGCACGGACACAGGAGTCCATGTGTCTACACAGCACTACACAGCAAAATACTTGGCGCCACCACAATTAGGAACCATAAGACACACGCACACATATGCAGCATAGAATATCATACTGAATTAATACGTGTTGTATAAATATTAACCTGAATTTACCTGAGGGCCGCCAGCACTAGTGGCCTCGACGAGGACAGGAAGCCAGCGGCTTGTAGAAGGTCCTCCAACAGCAGTTAAAAAATATGAATAAATGACTGATAGAATCTGAATGTATCGTGCACATATAATTATGTAACATTACATGTAAATATGGGAAATGACTAATTAGTCCTTGGTGGCGTAGTGGTAGAACGGTTACAATGCACCGAGAAAGCGATTTCGTTTGGGTTCGAGCCCTGGCCAGGGAGGATTAACTGGGCACCAGTTCTTAACTGTTCACCAAGTAGTTGTTGGGGTGCTAATTGGATACCGAATGATGGGTCGTGGTTCAGGGAAATTAACAGGATATGGCGAACTATGAGCCGTGCTAACAGGAGTCAGCAGTGGTCGACTCCTATATCCTCCTGTGTAAAGCAAGGATGGTAAGGCTTGCTATGAGCTATGAGAAGAATGGGCTCTCAGTTTACTAACAGGAGTCAGCAGTCGTCGACTCCTATACCCTCCTGTGTAAAGCAAGGATGGTAAGGCTTGCTATGAGCTATGGGAAGAATGGGCTCTCAGTTTACTAACAGGAGTCAGCAGTCGTCGACTCCTATACCCTCCTGTGTAAAGCAAGGATGGTAAGGCTTGCCATGAACTATGAGAAGAAAGGCTCTCAACCTACTAACAAGAAGTCAGCAGTGGTCGACTCCTATACCTTCCTGTGTAAAGTCAAAACAAGACATAACTGCTCTCTATGCTCTCCACACAGTAACGTAGATGCAGTTTCTAGACGTAAAGACTTACAAGGTCACATTATTAACAATGAATACACAATCTCAAATACTCATACCACAATTCATATCAATGGCATGATTCAAGCAAGAAAAATCATTGTTTTGCAACAACTTATCTATCTTAATATAGCTCTCCCGCACAGCTGGTGGACATGTGCACAAGAGGTGTTCTTATAGCTTCAGCTACTCGGTACAAGTTCCAAGTAGCACGGGCTATGGTGATCCCGTAACGTACCTGGCACAGGAGCGGTGCTGTGTTTAGGGTGATAATGCAGCTGATGCGGACTCTGTAAACAGCTGGGATGATTGGCCAGTCTGGTGGAGCTGGAAAACATTATCTGATTGGATTCGAAGAAAATGAATTCTTCTCGCTGTCACTAATATGTGATTTCAGTTCTTTGACTCGTTATTTCCTGCTTGGGTTACAATGAGTAGTTTCCTCTAAATGCTTGAGTGCCAAACACACACAAACACACACACACACACACACACTCACACACACACACACATACTCACACACACACACACACACACACACACACACACACACACACACACACACACACACACCTACCTGTTGATTGACGGTTGAGAGGCGTGACCAAAGAGCCAGAGCTCAACCCCCGCAAACACAACTAGATGAGTACACACACACACACACACGCACACACACACACACACACACACACACACACACACACACACACACACACACACACACACACACACCTACCTGCCCTACCTGTTGATTGACGGTTGAGAGGCGTGACCAAAGAGCCAGAGCTCAACCCCCGCAAACACAACTAGATGAGTACACACACACACACACACACACACACACACACACACACACACACACACACACACACACACACACACACACACACACACACACACACACACACACACACACACACACACACACACACACACACACTTATCATACAACCCCCGATTGCAATTATGCACTTGACACATTAGCAGCAACTTTAGATAAAATTTACAACAAAGTTTATCTCCGTGACAACTCAAGCATTCCTGTCCTCTTCTTGCAGGAAACAACAGTTTAATACAGACGAGGAGTCACGATAACGTGGCTGAAGTATGCTGACCAGACCACACACTAGAAAATGAAGGGACGACGACGTTTCGGTCCGTCCTGAACCATTCTCAAGTCGATTGTGAGACCCCAATCGACTTGAGAATAGTCCAGGACGGACCGAAACGTCGTCGTCCCTTCACCTTCTAGTGTGTGGCTTACCGAGTGATATAAAATGCCTTAAAAAACATGCTAATACTAAGCAAATGTGTCACATATTAGTCTTGAAAGTATGGGTAATGCTCGTCCTCCTAAGGTCTCCCCCAACGTCCAGAAACTGTTATACTAAAGTTACCCCTTGTCGTAACCTGCCAGAGGACCCAAAACAGAAAACGGGATATTTATGTCAATTTCGCGAGTCGCTTCCACTTTCTAGTACGACGATTTTGGCCCTTAGGAGTATACGTCAAAATGCGACGTTCTATTAGAAGGGTTGATGATCACCAAATACAAATAGATGGACCACCAGAAAGTACCAATATATAGTGATGGACCACCAGAAAGTACCAATATATAGTGATGGACCACCAGAAAGTACCAATATGTGGTGATGGACCACCAGAAAGTACCAATATGTAGTGATGGACCACCAGAAAGTACCAATATGTAGTGATGGACCACCAGAAAGTACCAATATGTAGTGATGGACCACCAGAAAGTACCAATATGTGGTGATGGACCACCAGAAAGTACCAATATGTAGTGATGAACCACCAGAAAGTACCAATATATAGTGATGGACCACCAGAAAGTACCAATATGTAGTGATGGACCACCAGAAAGTACCAATATGTAGTGATGGACCACCAGAAAGTACCAATATGTAGTGATGGACCACCAGAAAGTACCAATATATAGTGATAGACCACCAGAAAGAACCAATATGTAGTGATGGACCACCAGAAAGTACCAATATATAGTGATAGACCACCAGAAAGTACCAATATGTAGTGATAGACCACCAGAAAGTACCAATATGTAGTGATGGACCACCAGAAAGTACCAATATATAGTGATAGACCACCAGAAAGTACCAATATGTAGTGATAGACCACCAGAAAGTACCAATATGTAGTGATGGACCACCAGAAAGTACCAATATGTAGTGATGGACCACCAGAAAGTACCAATATATAGTGATAGACCACCAGAAAGTACCAATATGTAGTGATAGACCACCAGAAAGTACCAATATGTAGTGATAGACCACCAGAAAGTACCAATATGTAGTGATGGACCACCAAAAAGTACCAATATCTAGTGATGAACCACCAGAAAGTACCAATATATAGTGATGGACCACCAGAAAGTACCAATATCTAGTGATGAACCACCAGAAAGTACCAATATATAGTGATGGACCACCAGAAAGTACCAATATCTAGTGATGAACCACCAGAAAGTACCAATATCTAGTGATGAACCACCAGAAAGTACCAATATCTAGTGATGAACCACCAGAAAGTACCAATATATAGTGATGAACCACCAGAAAGTACCAACAAATGGACCTCCAGCAGTACCAATACACAAACCACCAGAAAGTACCAATATATAGTGACATTGGCACCTCATTCATTGTAGTACTTCCTCCCTCCCTCCCTCCCCATGCCCCCCTACTTCCCTATACCTTCTTCAAGGCCAGACGAGGGAGCCAATATATATAAGACGACCAGGAAGGAGGTGTCTCGAAGCTGTACCAGTAACGGACTGACCACGTACACACCACAATCATTATCCTCCATATTCAAGGTGAGTTCCAATGAACAAATCCACAAGGGCAGTGACGAGGATTCGAACCTGCGTCCGGGAGCATCCCAAACACTGCCTTACTCGACTGAGGTACGACAGGGTTAAAGTACCGATACCCAGTCGTAGCTCAGTCGATTAAGACAGTGTCTGGGATGCTCCCGGACGCAGGTTCGAATCCTCATCACGGCCCTTGTGGATTTGTTCGTGAGTTCCATTCTCTTACCTAATAAACAATATTGTCAAGAGTTAAGAATGTCTCGTTGTCGATACGCGGTATAGATTTTTTCTCTATGGTATTGCGTATTTGGATTGCGTGTATAGCGTGTTTTAGCGTGTTTATAGGGTAATATGAGTTAATAATCGTGGGGATTTGTAATAAAGAAGTTTTAAAGAAGTCTCCCCTTATATATCCAATAAGAGAGAACGTACCAGAGAGCAAGCGGAAACTCGCTTAAAAATGTATATAAGCTTAATGTGTTAAACTGGGAGCCTTAAACGGGAACCAAACTTGGAACATGATTTAGACCCTGATCCTCCTCGGAGGCATGTAAACCTATCACTTTAGAGTCTTATCTTTTTCTAAGGTAGAGTATCTTTTGTTTCAGATGCTCTGTGTTATCGGTCTGGTGTTTATGGTGGCGCTGGCGGCGTCTCAGACGCCCGACGGAGACGAGGACGCTTCAGTCTTCGTCAAGCCCTTCCGTCCACCCAACCCATACCACCCCAGGGGTTACAGGAGCCCCCATCGTCGCTACATCAGACTGCGCACCGGACGACTCAACCGCATCATCGCCGAAGAGAACCTCCTCCTCTCTGCCTTAGGCTAACGCCACATTTAATGACATTTCCTGAGCCTCGTGTGTGTTCTCTAGTCGATGGAAAAGAGCTTCCTTTTTCC